TCAGTTAACAACTAATTTACCAAACATCTTTAATTTCTACAATCAGTTAATACTATCAACTAGTAAAACTCATTAACCCAATCATCTAACATCTATTTACCAAACACCACCATAGTAATTTATTCTCGACCCCCACTATAAGCGGGGAGTTTGGGGACCAAATTCAGAGAACGAATGCATAGATAAATATATATCCAATTTCTTGGACAAGGATACCCTTCCCCGCATATCACATCCCTCGTATGTTAAGTTATATATATATATATATATATATATATATATATATATATATATATATATATATATACACACGCGCGCGCACACACTGAGTAGCATTTTGTATGCGCGATGTATAAAAATTCATGCCAAATATTAAAATATTGTTGAATAAAAATTAAAAAAAAATTAGTTCAAATTGTATATCTCAATTTCTTAAAGTGATAAATTTTATTTATCATATTTGAATAATACATAAGAAAAAGATAAGAAAGGGGTTATATTTCTCTCGCCGTTTTCCCGAGTTTTTTAGGGTTTTTACAACTTTCCGCCGTGGCTCGGCATCGACGACGTGCGATATCTCTGCGACTGTTTACGAACTTGGCGAATGGCTGCTCAGGAGGTTATTGATCAGTGTGCTAGTTTGACTTTGGCGGATGTGGACGATGAAGAGCTTGCTGTACAAGTCCCCTATGAACCTGGCGAACATGAGGCGGAGGAGGAGGGGTACCATGCGGTTGGCAGGTTGCTCACGAACCGCCGGTTTGCCTACTTTCAAGACACCATGGCAGGTGTGTGGCAGGCGGCCATGGGTGTAAACATGCGAGAGCTTCAACCACGAAGGTTTCTATTTCGGTTCTATCATGAAGCCGATCTCCTGCGTATTCTAGGTGAGGGCCCCTGGGCGTATGAACAAAGTTTGTTAGTGTTAAAGAGGCTGGGACCAGGGGAGGATCCGGAAACTGTTCAGTTAGATCATGCGGAGTTCTGGGTTCAAATACATGCATTGCCGGTCGGGTTTCGATCGGAGTCAGTGGTCAAAGCTATCGGCTCGTTCCTGGGGGTGGTGGTACAGTCTGATGAAAGGAATTTTGATGGGTCCATGAGGACGTATTATCGTGTTCGGGTGTCGCTGGACATCACCAAGCCTCTCAAGAAGCAGATGAAGCTTAAGCGGGATGCCGGGAATTGGGCTATCATTGAAGGTTTGCCGACTTTTTGTTTTTTATGTGGGTTGGTTGGGCATGGGGATAGGCATTGCAGGCTCGCGTTGGAACGTACTGATCCGAAGGCTGAGAAGCCATATGGGGCCTGGTTACGAGCTTCGTCTCGCCGGGGTCCGCCGATGACGAACAAAAGTTGGATTCCCCCAGAAACTGCTGCTGAGCGAAAGTTGTGGAGATCACCTGCTATGGGGGGTGATGTAGTTTCCAGTGGTTTTGACGGGAAGGTGATGGGCAGTGGGGGTGATTCGGGGCTGGGCAGTGGGGGTGATTCGGGACTGGGCAGTGGGGGTGGTTCGGATTTGGGCAGTGAGCGGCCGAACGGTGTTGCTGGGGTTGCATGTGCTGTGTCGGGGGTTGTTGTGGGGGAGCAGAAGAGACGGAGGGTGGAGGAGGTGGAGGCCGAGGTGAGTGTGGGTAGAGGGGAAATGGATTGTGAAGTGGCTATGTCAAAAAATGGATTTGGGGCGGGACTTGCGGAGCAAGCCCGCCGAGAATTATGAGTCTGATTTCCTGGAATTGCCGGGGGCTTGGCAACCTGACGGCAGTTCGTGTTTTAGCGGACCTTGTTCGCACTAAGAGGCCGAGTGTGGTTTACTTGATCGAGACCTTTGTTGATAAGCAGCATATGGAGGATGTTAGAGTACAGCTGGGGTTTGATTGTGTCTTTACTGTGGAGGCGGATGGTCGGAGGGGGGGTTTAGCGTTGTTATGGATGAATAATGTGGATTTGAGAGTTACGGGTTATTCTGCAAATCATATTGATAGTGAGTTACGGTTGGATGTTGGTAGTCCCTCCTGGCGTTTTATTGGATTTTATGGGTTCCCGGAGAGGAACCGTAGGCGGGAGGCGTGGCAGCTGATGCGTACCTTGTCATCTCGGTCAACTCTACCGTGGTTGGTGATGGGGGATTTTAATGATCTCCTAGATCAGTCTGAGAAGATTGGACGGGCCCCGCATCCGCCTTGGTTGATAAATGGTTTTAGAGAGGCTATTGCTGACTGTGATTGCAGGATGTTCCGTTTGAGGGACCACAATTTACTTGGGTCAAGTCGCGGGGTACGAGTGGAATAATTGAGGAGAAGTTGGACCGTATATTGGCAAGTGAGGATTGGTTAAATCTGTTTCAAGGCGCTCAGGCACATTCTCTGGTCGTCCCATACAGTGATCATTTACCCCTGTTCCTTTCACCGGTTACTCTCCCACGAGTTCGGAAGCGGGCCAGGTTTTGTTTTGATAATATGTGGCTACGGGAAGAAACATGTAGAGAAATTGTTGCTCAGAGTTGGGACAGAATGGTGGGCCTGGATACGTTAGTAAGGGTGGAGGCGTGTGCACTTGACATAAAGAGGTGGGGGCGGAATTATAACAAAGATTTTCAGCGGAAGATAGAGCATAATAAGCAACGCTTGATTTGGTTAAGAGGGCGTCGTGATGAGCCTGGGATGCAAGAGTATGTTGCGGTGGAGAGGGAGTTGCTCTTTCTGTTAGAGCAACAACATTATTTCTGGAAACAGCGGGCTAAGGAGTTTTGGTATCAAGGAGGGGATGTCAATAGCAAGTTTTTTCACAATTCTGTGAAAGCTAGACGCTGACGAAATACTATTAGACGACTCCAGGATAAAAATGGGAACTGTGTGGAGGATGCGAAAGGGTTAGATAATGTTATGCTAAATTATTATACTGGACTGTTTACCGCGGATTATGGAGCGATACAGGAGGTAATTGATGCAATAACTGAGAAGGTAACTGAGCATGATAATGCTATGCTGCTACGGTCGTTGAGTATGGAGGAGGTTCGTGCTGCGGTGTTTCAGATGCATCCTGACAAGTCCCCGGGTCCAGATGGTTTCGGACCGGGGTTTTTCCAGTATTTCTGGGACATTGGGGGGGGGGGGGTAACGGCTTTTTGCAGGGGTTTCCTGGAAACGGCCAAGCTCCCGCCAAGGGCTAATGATACTCTCGTTGTTTTGATTCCAAAAAAGACCAGGCCGGAAACTATGAAGGATCTTCGCCCGATAGCTTTGTGTAACTGATGAGCATATTTTATACCTTAATTTAAATAAGTTTTATTGGTTAATTTTATTATTTATATTTTATATTTCATTATTTTTAGTATATTTTATTATATTAGGATTAGATAAGTTAGTTAATAAATTTTAAGTATAATTAGTCTTAATAGTTAATAAAATAAATAAATGAACTAGGGTCCACTTGTTTAAGTAATCCTAATCACCCATTACTTCCTCTTCTTTTTCCCTGTACGTAAATTTAGTAATTTATATTTTGTTTCTTTTTTGTTTTGTTTACGAACATCAAGCAGCGGAGCAAAAGGGGAGCGCAGCAAGGCTTTGGACCAGACGACTTTGAGCGATTCATTCGCGAAAGATTTCTGGAGGAAGTTAAACAAAACTTTTTGAAGATGAAATTGAAGAGAAAGATGCGGTAAGAGCATAAATTTTAGGGAAGATTGTTGATTTGGAATCCTATAAAAGGAGAGCCATTCTGATGTATTTTGGGTAGATTGTTCTTTTCAAATTCTTATATTTTAGAATAGTTTTCTCTATGTCTAGCTAGATTTTCTTAATCTGATTCAAGGATTTGAAGTTTGAGTTGTGAATTTAGGGAGGTTCTATTTCAATTAATTTGTTAGATTCATGTACTTCCTGCTCTTTCAGAGTTAATTTTACAGGAAGATTGATAGTAAATTAAATTGACAACTTACTTTATTATTGTTTTCCTATTGCTATCTTATGAGTTTATGATCCGTAATTGTCATAGATGATTAGACTGAGTAGTTTGTATTAATTATTTTGCTTTAATTAGCATATAAAGGCTAGGAAGACTAAGTTGCATATGTAGCTATCTCAATATGTAATTTAGGCTTAGTTATTTCCCATTTAAGTGTAATGATGTTATTGGGTGAATATGGAACGCTATCGTCCCCAGTTCATTCAATAGCAGTTGTTGGTTCGAATGCTTAGTTTGAATCAATTAAATCAGGGAGATCAAATACTAGTTATGGCTATCCTAATTAGTCTTTGGCTAAGTACTTGATTCTGAATTTTACTTGTAAGAGCCAATGATCTAAGTCACATCTTTAACGTTCATTTTCCCTTGAATCAGAATTCAACATCTCTGAACTCGTTATTAATTATTGTTTATTTTATTTATTCTTCTCAAATCCCCCAATTTTCCCTACTTTGAGTCATTTTATTTTAATTAAAGAAACGAAATTCATTAGTTCTCTTGGGATTCGACCTGGTCTTGCCACTACTACAAATTAGTGGAGTGAGCCAGTATTAAATTTGTAGGGCTTCGACAACCCTGCCAGTAACGTCATTTATAAGATAGCGGCTAAGGTATGTGCAAACCGGATAAAACCCTTATTGCAGAAGTTAATTTCGTGTGCTCAAAGTGCCTTTGTCCCGGGGCGCTTAATAATTGACAATATCATGCTTGCCTACGAGGTCCACCACTTTTTGAAACGAAAGACCTAGGGACGTGAGGGGGTCGTTGCGTTGAAGCTTGACATGTCCAAAGCCTATGATCGGGTGGAGTGGGAGTTTCTTCGGGCAGTGTTGCTCAAGATGGGGTTTGGTATTCGTTGGGTTGATATTCTGCTAGAAACGGTAACCTCAGTTTAGTACCATATCTTACATGATCAGCGGCATTTGGGACCAATTAATCCAGGAAGGGGGCTTCGTCAGGGGGACCCGCTTTCCCCGTATTTGTTCCTCTTTGTAGCCGAGGGGTTGAGTGCTATGATTGAAAGAAGCATGACGACGGGCCGATTGCATGGGGTTTCGGTGGCTAGGGGTGCACCTTCTATCTCTCATCTCCTCTTTGCAGATGACTCCTTCCTGTTTCTACGGGCTAATGAGGAGGAAAACGTCCAAATGAGGTATGTGCTTGACACTTATGCCAGGGCTTCTGGCCAGCATATTAATTATGATAAATCTGCTGCATGTTTTAGTACAAATGTGCCACATAGTAGAAGAAATGAGGTTGTTGATATTCTGGGTGTGGAGGAGGGTGAAACGAGTGGGAAGTACTTGGATTTGCCATCACTGGTGGGGAGGAGGAAAAAGGCTATTCTGGGGTTTCTGAAGGATCGTATACTCACCAGGGTCCGTTCTTGGAATGCCAAGTTCTTGTCAAGAGCTGGGAGGGAGGTTCTTTTGAAAAATATTTTGCAGGCAATGCCAGCATATGCTATGATGGTGTTCTTGCTTCCCTTGGGGCTTTGTCGGGAAATAGAGGTGATTATGAATCAATACTGGTGGACTGGTAGTGTGGGAAATGGCCGTGGGATAAGGTGGCGTTCATGGGAGGGTCTGTCAAGGCCTAAAGCATATGGTGGAATGGGCTTTCGTCGTGTACATGAGATGAACAAAGCGTTACTAGGGAAGCAGGCATGGAGGTTAATTTCCAATCCCACAAGCCTAGTGACCTGTGTGTTTAAGGCTCGCTATTACTCTGATTGTGACTTTTTTTATGCCAGGGAAGGGAGCAACCCATCCTACATTTGGCGGGGTATGCTGGAAGTTAAAGGCTGTTTGAAGGAGGATTGTAGAAGGGTCATAGGCGATGGCAATGGGACTATTATTGGCAGGGATCCTTGGCTACCTGTGGATGATAATCCGTTTGTGAAAACGGAGTTGCACTAGACAGTTTATGAGGCACCGGTGGCCTCCCTGATGGATTTGCATGGTACAGGTTGGGATGTGGATTGTGTAAAGGATATTTTTAATGCCTGTGATGCTAACTTAATTTTGAATATTCCTGTCAGTATTCAGAAGCCTCGTGATCAGTGGTTTTGGCAATGGGAGCAGAAGGGTGCGTATTCGGTCAAGTCATGCTATAAGCAGCTTACAAGGGTGGCTGCGAGTGACCGCCCATGGGCAAGTATTTGGAGCCTGCATGTCCCGCCTAAGGTGAAGAATTTTTGTTGGCAGTTAGCGTCTCTCTATCTTCCTACATGTGATATTTTGTTGACTAAGAATGTTGCATGCTTGGTGGATTGCCATATGTGCAGGCAGGAGCAGGAGTCGGCCATACATCTTTTTTTTTTTCAGTGTGGGGAGGCAATTCGGCTTTGGAACATGTTGGGGATGCCGCATGTGAGTAACTATGATGGTAATCATCTGGGAGACTGGTTCTTTTGGGCTTTGGGCACATTAGATTTAATTGCAAAGTCTAAGTTTGTTATGGCTTGTTGGGGTGTGTGGTGCAGTAGGAATAAGAGTGTGTGGAAGGGCATTGGTTTTGATTTATCTACTATGATGCATAGGGCTTTGGCGTTTCTGGAATGTTGGGGAGATGCAAACGAAAAGCTGCTTGTTGGTGCTGGCCGCATAGACACACATGCCGTGGCTACTTGGACAAGACCAGTGCATGGGAGGCTCAAGCTCAATACTGATGCTGCGTTAAGAGAAGAGGATAATGCTATGGGGTTCGGGTGGGTCTTGCGGGATGATGGCGGTAATTTCCTAGCTGCAAAGAATGTCAGAGTGCCCGGGTTGTGTACGGTTAGGGAAGCAGAGGTGCTTTCTATTCGGGAGGCGTTGAGTTGGCTTAAGGGCACTGGTTTGGGTGTTGTGGATGTGGAAACAGATTGTCAGATTGTTTTTAATGCTATTACTTCGGATTCTTTTATTTCTATTTTTGGCTATTTAGTAGATGATGTAAAGAACTTGGCATCTGAGATTGAAGATGTGCAGTTCTGTCATGTTAAGATATCTGTGAATTGTGCTACCCACACTGTTGCTAGGGAGGCCTTTTCTGTGTTAGGTTGCGGTGAGTGGTTGGATGAACCACCTGCCTTCCTTGTTAACATTCTTGATTCCGATTTAATGAATTAAACTTTCTCTTTCAAAAAAAAAAAAAAACGATAAAGAATTTATATATTTTTGTTTAATAATAATGTAGACAATTTTCTTAAAACATATCTTAACTATAATAAAGCTATATGGTTTGGGAATTAATTAATGTTACAATTATTATTTTGGTGAGTAATTATTGTTATAATTATTGTCTCTATCCTTATTAATATAAAATAGTCACAACATCCTTTACTATAAAAATAAAAAATAAAAAAAAAGCACAACATCTGAAAAATAAAATAGTTATTTTCGTATTGTGAAAATTATAATATAGATGAAATACAATTAAGAATAAATCAATGTAATTATGTAAATTCTCTCTATAAGTTTATTTGAATATGTACATAATTAGAGATTATATTAACCATACAAAATTTTAATTTTAATTTTAATTGTAATTTTGTATTTTATAAAAATAATAAATACTTGACCAATGGAAGCTCAAAAATATGATTATATTAAAAAATTTAAAATATTTTTATTTTTTCTATTTTTTATTTATATTTATAATAACATAATTTTTTCCCGTGCATCGCGCGGGTGAATTACTAGTATTTACAAAATAATAGTACAAACACGTGCGCCCATGCACAACATATGTGTGTGTGCGCGTGTGCACGTGTAATACTAAGATAACATCCACATGTATTGGTATATGTATGCAAATAATATATGTATATTATATTATATATACACATATGATTTAATATTCATAGATAATTAAATTAAAATATAAGCTACAATTAAATTAATTGTCATAGAATATGTATTGCTCAGTGGAGGCGTTATTAGCTCTTTGTGTTTCAGTAGGTTGAGAAAGTATATGAACAGATACTACAATGTAATAGAGCTAGTAGCATTCAAAAAATTAATTGTCATATGATATTTTTAATAAATGATAATTAAAAAATATGAAAGATGCAGGTGTATAGTAATAATAATGAAGTTATTAAATAATAATGGAGTTATACTGTTGAAAGGGTAGTTTTGTCTTACAAAGATTCGGTAAAGATAATTTTATCAAATTAAACAAAATGTACAATGCCGCCTTAAGCACAAAGATGAGCAACTTGGTGCCATTAGACCACAAGGTCATCCTTTATATACTAAAGCTATATGATTTGGGAAATAATTAATGTTACAATTAATGCCACAACATCCTTTATTATTAAAAAAAAAAAAAAAGCACAACATTTAAAAAATAAAATAGTTATATATTATATAATCATATAAAAAATATACTTTTGAAAAATAAAATAGCTATATATTATATAATCATATAAAAAATATGTTCAATTAGAGTTTAAATTTACACATACAAAATTTAAAATTTGCTTTCCAAATGTAATTATCTTAGTTATTATTTGTATTGTGAAAATTATAATATAGATGAAATACAGTTAAGAATAAATCAATGTAATTATGTCAGTTATCTCTATAAGTTTATTTGAATATGCACATAATTAGAGATTATATTAACCATACAAAATTATAATTTTAATTTTAATTGTAATTTTGTATTCTATAAAAATAATAAACATTTGACCAATGGAAGCTCAAAAATATTATTATATTAAATGATTTAAAATATTTTAGTTTTTCTATTTTTTATTTATATTTATAAGAACATAATTTTTTTCCGTGCATCGCGCGGGTGAATTACTAGTTGACAGATATAAAATATATAAAATTTATGAAAAAAAAAACGTAATACTATACTAATATTTGAATTTGATAGTTTAAATCAATAATTTAATATTTAATTTTTTACTTAAATATTAAAAATTGCATTAAACTATTAGTTTGACCGAGAATGATGATTCTCCATCCCAACAAATTTCCCGATGTATAAGGTTGCAGGAGCGGGGCCACAAAGACGGAGAATATACTCCCTACCTCACTCTGTCCCCTTGTCATCTCTAACTAAAAATATACTCTATCGTCTTTCAAAACTAAAAACGGTGCAAGAATGCACATCTCCAACATTATCCTTCCACAAAAGGTCTATCAGAAACATAACACCAGTTCGTCATCATACCATCTCATCCTCTTTTATACAATAAAGACATCTTATTAGTGTATCAGGTTTTAAAATATTGTAAAATTTCTGAAAATAAAATCAACAACATCTTAAACGAAAAAATACCACAAAAATCATCCATCAAAATGTTGCTAAGAAACAAAAGGATACTCTAAGCATCTCATCCGACCAACAGTCCAACATGGCAATGGGCAACTAGTAAACGTATTTGTTATTTTTATTTTTATTTTTCAAAATCTCAAAAAAAAAAAAAAAAAAAAAAAAAAGAGTAAGACTTTTAGTAGCATTCTAAATATCTTTACTTTGTGGTGGTTTTGTAAGGTTTGACGCATACAGCCACAATTATAGTTGAAAATCGCCGTCCGACCCGTTACGATCAAAGGCGATGCAAAAGGCAAAGTTATTCTTCAGAACGGCACCGTATTTCCATAAGCGCACCGTCTCCGGCCTTCTTACGCGTCTGCGCCTCCACTATTTTCATTGTGCTTCATCATTCCCTGCAGTCAATTTCAACGAAATTCTAAGAGATTTTGATCAGGCTTGAATTCCTCTTCCTCATTTTCCCAACTTGATTACAGTTTGTTGCATATTCTTTGCGTTCTTTGATTGCATGATCTGTGAAAATAGACGAGATAATTTTAATCAGTTTTTCATGCAATTCATACGTTCCTTTTATATTTTGTTGTATATTTTTACATGATCAGTGGAATTAATAGTGTTTGTGTACTTGAGTTCTTGAAATGCAAAACCGATATTTTGCTAAGAAATGATGATCAAGCTTGTGTTATGATGTTACTGATCATTTATGTGAAAGAGAAAGTGAATTTAAAATAAAAATAAAAATCACATAGTAAATCCTGTCAGCTAATGGGCACTGTACAGTATATGTAAATTTCTAATAGAGATTTTCAATTTCTACTGCTTGGAGTTTATGGGTTGGAGAAAACAGAGTTTGATACTGTGATACCAAGAAAAAATTACCATAAGATTAATGGTATTGTCAGGGAAACCTTGGATGCCACTATGTGCCAATGCCAGCAAGTCTTTACTACTTGTAAATGATTTGGTTGTCTGTAATTTTAGTTCAAAACACACATTCATGAAATCTTGAATAGTGAGCCTCCACCTTTGGTTTGAGTTTTCATTTCATGCCATCTATGGAAGCAGTGAATCTGTCAGTTATAATTCAATGAAGCTTGTCAATTCAATTTCAAATGCTTTTGTAATGTTATTACTTTAGGTCTGCAGACTGCATAGATAGTTAGATACAGTGTCCCATATCTTCAACAATACTCTTCACTTGACTAGTTTCTAAGATGTTTTCTTTTTGAGCTTTTTCATGATCACTAAAAACAACTGTCTTATTTTCTTTTTCTTTAATAAAGAAAATAATTTAATTGAGAGTTCACCAAGTGGTAAATAGTAACATTATTAAACCTTTTTTCTTAGATATAATTTTGATAGTTCTGTAGAAAACATGCCTCATATGGTAGTAACTTGGCATATCCTTTTGTGTGATGTGTTTCTCCATTTTGTACCAGAAATAGGTTTTGCCACCTGCCTTTGACACATGGGGTGGGGAAGCATCTACAAGAGACGATTTAAAGTTTTTGCTTTAACTATTTTTATCTACCTGGATTACAAGGTAAAATTTTGTCATTGGAGATTGGTGGATTGATGATGATAGATTCAGTTTTTGAGGGAGAACCCATGCACATGCATACACACACAGATTTAATATTTCTGCCTTTCATAACCAAAATTGAGGAAATGTTTCTTCTTTTTTATGTATTTGTTTTACTGAAGGCATTACAGAAGAGAGAAAAGTGGATAAGCAAGTTGAAGATAGATGCTCTATGGCAAAAAGCTCATGAGCGGAATGCAAAACGTATCCTCAATTTGATGATAGAGTTAGAAGGTCTATGGGTGAAATTTGGACAATACCTATCCACTCGCGCCGATGTGCTTCCAGAAGCCTATATATACCTGTTGAAACAGTTACAGGACTCTCTTCCTCCCCGCCCTTTAGAAGAGGTTATAGTTCCCTCATATCTGATCTTTGAACCATGCCTGCACGTGAAAAGAAAGAAAAAAAAATGACTATACAAATTAGAGACCAGAAAATATTTTTCATCTGTAACCTTTAGATAGTGACAATATATGCTTCATAATGAGTGTACTTAATAGTTTACTGATTTTCCACTGCTTGTGTGGGCCCTTGTCTATTCATGCCTTGGGTAGGCGTGAATTTATTTGAATATGCAGGTTGACTAAATGTGTTTGAGCAGAGTAGTGCTTTGGCAACTTAATACGGCTCTTTGCTTTGCTGCTAATACTGCATACCTTTTTCACAGTCATGCACCTTTGAAAGCCCAATTAATTGTCTGTGTAAATTGTTTAACCAATTTTTGAACAAATGATGACTACATGACCATTAATTTGATGATGTTTGTTTTTGCACAGGTTTGCCAAACTATACAGAATGAGTTGGGAAAATCCATGGATGATCTATTCATGAATTTTGATGGAGTTCCTCTGGCAACAGCTTCGGTAAGTTCCTAGGTTATATCCACGCATAAAACAATAAACAAAGAACTAGGAATCTGTTGGATCTGGGTCATATATAGATGCATTGTTGCCTCTGATGCCCGAAATGTTGTGAGCTCTTGAAGTACTTCCTCCAATGCATGTTGCTTAACCATTTCAGATTATGAATATTCCAAAACCAACATTTTGGTTGAACCACAGCCATCTATTTTTCAATACATTTTTCTACACATGGATTGAAGGTTAGGAATTACTGTTTCAATAATTTGAGGCTGTTGTTGCCATAATGGAAAGACTGGTGATGTTGTATTTAGTTGAAAAAATGTTTTCTTTATTGAGGATTTCGCTGTTGCAGTGCAATTTTGATGAAAACAATTATTGTTTCTTATAAAATGGTTTGAATTGTAGAGCAGGATCTTCCATAGGGATAGAGTCCATAGTTTGCTTGATATTAGCTTTTTATATTAATCTCTAGTAAACAAAGGAAAAGATTAGGTCCACTGTGTGGAAAGTTCCATCATGTTCTGTTATCCTCACTGCTTATTCCACCTCCATGCAGATAGCGCAAGTTCATCGTGCAACTTTGAGTGATGGACAGGAAGTTGTTGTCAAGGTTCAGCATGATGGTGTAGACAAAATAATATTGGAGGTTCTTATTGTTTGCTTATTATTGGTTTTTATTTTATACTTTTGTGTTAAAATGCTTTGTTGTAGAAGTGATAGTACTTGGATCCTGTATGGTCATTAGTAGTGTTGCTTCTTCTGCAGGATCTGAAGAATGCGAAGTCAATAGTTGATTGGATAGCATGGGCAGAACCACAGTATAACTTCAATCCTATGATTGATGAGTGGTGCAAAGAAGCACCAAAGGAACTAGACTTTAATCATGAGGCAGGTGTGCTATAAATTACAGCATTGTTCTGAAATTGGTTATCTGATATCTAATGCCTTTTGTGTTTTTTTCTAGAAAATACTCGCAAGGTCTCAAGGAACCTAGGCTGCAGAAAGAGATCTAATCATGATGAGCCTTCTAATCTTGTTGATGTATTAATTCCTGAAGTTATTCAGGTACCTTATTATAAGCTTCCAATGAAAGCTGAGTGATTCTGCAATTCTTTTTCGAGAACTTAAGTAGTTCTTTACTATTTTAATGCCGGCATGAGGATGGTGGAGAGAAACATGGCATGAATAGCAATATCAGTTCATGACTCATATGCAGTGATTGCATTGTTGAAACATAGCTGTCACTTATGGCATTAGAATGGCTATTTTTAAATTTGATTTTAGGAAGGTTGGCTAACTTCCTAAACCCAAATATAGGAATCACAGAAATCGGTATTAGGAGTTTGCTTGCCAATACTTATGTACACACTCCCCTATCAATGATGTATACGTCAATACAAAGCTAATTTTTAGGTGTTTGGATGTTGATAAGAGTAAAGAGACAGGATGAATTTGAATCAAGAAATCTAGGAGATTATGATATTATAAAGTAAAACCAAAGGAAAGAAAACAAGGGAATTCTAAGAATATCCCTCCAACAAGAATAAATTCTTGCCCACAGCTACTTAGAGCTAATTGTTCCAATCCTACCGGATGCCCTCTCTTCTAATAGATGGTCCCTATTTATAATCTATTACCATATGTAAAATAAGGTAGGAGCATCAATTACTGATTACATAATTAGTCAATCCCTAATTATACGCTCCACAAAATAAGCAAGGATTTACCTAATCAGTCAATCCCTTATTCTATGCTTCCACTAGAATGATTATTTGATTACTTTCCTTTCCTGCCTGATTTGTATCAGATGTTCAGGTGGCAATACACTAATATTTAGGTGTTAAGAATTTTGAATCTATGGTGTTTTCAAGTATTATCTGAACATACTTGATAGGGGTTCACACAGCTTTATGCACCATCATCTAGTAGTTGCTTTCTTAATTCAGTTTCCTTGTCTTTTATGAATCCCAAAGATTGTAGGCTTTCAGTTTTACTCTGACGTCTCCTGTAATCTAATTTAATATAAATGATAAATGCCTCTCAAAATTGTAACTTTTATACATGCAATTGTATTTGTATCAGAATCTGTAGTTTAGTATACTCCATAACCCCAAGTGTATGCCACTTTTGCTGTTTAGGCAGAGTTTTAGAGCAATTTTTCGTAAAGACAAGTGAGGTTAAATGTAGCTTCTTTTTTTCCTCTTTTTTTTTTTTCAAAATTTGAAAATTTTTAAGTATATAAGTGGGCCCCATTATACTTGTGTAAGAAAAAATTTTCTATTTTTGGAAAGTGGAGCTGTGGAGAACATTTTGGGAGTAATTGGGATCGACTAAAAAGGAAAGTAAGATATGTAAAATGGAGCATAAAGAGTAATATTTAATTTTCCATATGCCGGTGGCTGGTGGGGTTTTTAAGGATTGTTGACTTTGCTGGGTTTGCTCAAAATTACTTACGTTTGATTCTTGCTACCAGTAGTCCCCCTTGGTGGGCAATTTGTAAATTTTATTACAAGTCCTCTTTGCGGCTAGTGGTATGTCCTAACCCTAGACCAAGGTAGCCTCCCCTTTCCTAAATTTTATGTACCAAAAAGAATAATAAATAAACTTGCCAACCCACTGCCTCATGATTTCTAATAAATGGATTAGAGTAATTTATGGACTTCATTTATCCTCAAAAGACCACAAAATATGTCATTTCATGGGCCATGTGAAGAGATTTGACCAGAGATTGGTATGAAAAATTATTTGATATATTATTACTAGACTAGATATGAAAGCAGAAGCTTGTCTGGCCAGATATTCAGTCAAAGCGGGGTGTTATTTGCTTGTGATTTTACTTTACTGCTACTCTCCTCTTCTATTATCATTTTATTTGATCAAGTAATGAACACTCAACCCAACTCTTGCATGATTTCATCTTTTACACTGCATATAACTTCTTTTCTTTTAATTTGTTGTTTGTTTGCTCACCATTCCACAAAGGCAGTCAACTGAAAAGGTTCTCATACTAGAGTACATGGATGGTGTTCGTTTAAATGATTCTGAAGCACTCCAGGCTTTAGGTGTTGATAAACAAAAACTCGTTGAAGGAATCACACGTGCATATGCACACCAAATTTATGTGGACGGCTTATTCAATGGTGACCCACATCCTGGTGTGTTTCCTTCTCTCTCTTCTTCTGTCCTCTCTTTAACTCTATGCAAATGTATATGTACCACTATTGATTCATAAGACACAAAATGAGTATCTTTTACTTTAACATCTGATTCTTTTATTATTTTTATTTGACTATTAAAATTAGGTAATTTTCTTGTAAGCAAGGAACCTCCACATCGTCCAATTTTGCTTGATTTTGGGCTCACAAAGTTACTGTCAAACTCTACAAAACAAGCTCTTGCAAAAATGTTTTTGGCTTCAGCTGAGGTTTGTCATTCTTTAAACATAATCCTGACTGCATTAATGCCTACAATTAATGATCTTCAAATTGAAATTTCCCTTAGATAGACTCTAATGTGATAACTACTCACTCTGTGATCATATGCCAAGTTCATATACAAAACCTTTCTATTAGAATCTAAGATTGGGCTAAGGTTATTCAACCGGGCTGTAATGCACATGGGCCAAACCACACTAAAGGATTGAATCTAATCAATTAACTAGTTTAATCCAAACCTTATAAACCCAAATGTTTTTCAACGTGGGATTCTTAACACTCCCCCTCAAATGGACAACTGGGCTATTTTGAATATAACTATTTGACCACTTACAATTGGATTGGACCCTTCCCCTAAAACGGAAGCTTTGGATGCCACCAATACCATGGACAAACAATCGGGTGAACTCTGGAGTCTGGACCAAGCAAGCTTGCTACAAAAACTTGGTGTCATAAAGTGGACTGAACAAGCTCTGATACTATGTTATAATCTAAGATTGGGCTGAGGTTGCTGAACTAGGCTTCCGTACTAAAAGATTGAATCGATTAGCTAGTTTAACCTATGGCCTTATAAACCTTTTCTCTATTTTTTCAATGTGGGACTTAATACTTTCAAATGAATGCTTATGCAGCTGTACTCACAGTTGAGTCCATTTAGCAATGGAAGAACAGGGTGATAATTCCCATGCATTTTTGAGTGATGGATTGGTTGTCATGAACTTTATGGACAGAAATGATTTTGATGGAATAACTTTATCACAAATGTGTATCTTCTTTCTTTTGTTTCATCATCTCTATATGCCTCATTCTCTATTGCTTGTCCAATTAATAAAATTGTTCTTTCCTACCCTAAGAATAAATTATAGGATATAATGAGCTTCAAGATAAATTTTCGTGAGGATCTGCTATGCTCATGCAATACTTTCATATCAATTAATTGATGATCAAATGAGATGTTAGGAACCAGTCATGCAACCACTACCATAATTGCACCCTTGTGATAGCATCAAGAAATATGATATCACTTGCCACAAACTGGGAACTGCTAGCCTGATGTATACTCATCACATTGTTATGCTCTGTATTTTTTGTGAACTTTAACCTCAACAAAATGTCAGTATCCCAAGTAACCAAGTTCGTATATGTTTTTAGTTGTCAAATATTATCTTAATTACTTGTTGCACACACTTTGTCAGTCAATAATTTCTAACAGTTTCTAGTTTGCTAGATAGGCACTGAATCTACTTCCATCTTTCAGGGCGATCATGTGGCCCTGCTGTCTGCCTTCGCAGAAATGGGACTTAAGTTCCGCCTTGACATTCCAGAGCAGGCTATGGAGATAACAACTGTTTTCTTTCGCTCTTCAACACCTGCAGCTGAAGCTTTCGTGAGTATTATATCCTTTTAATAATGTCCAACTATTTATAGTTTACTGATTGACCCATCTGAATACTGATGAAGGATAACATGAAAACATTGACTGAGCAAAGGGAAAAAAATATCAAGGTCATACAAGAAAAGATGAAATTAAACCAAAAAGAAGTGAAACGTTTTAATCCGGTAAGTGAAATCATTTTGCTCTTAGTGGCCTTAAACTGGTAATATCTATCAGAAAATAAACTTAGACTCGAGCAATATTTTTTATCCCCAGGTTGATGCATTTCCTGGTGATATAGTGATATTTGGCAGGGTCCTTAATCTGCTTCGCGGTATGTAATATACCTTCCTGGAAGATTCTGTCTTTAGACAAATTCTTGATTTGTAATGCTCATTTAGTATTTGTCTTGGTTTCAGGACTTTCGGCAACAATGAATGTCCGTATAGTTTATATTGACATCATGAGACCATTTGCTGAATCTGCATTGAAATGGTAAGTCTGTTGTGTGCTTGTGCTTTTGGCTTTTCATTTGGTGCGTCTCTCATTTTTAGCTGTAAACAAATTTGTATCAGCAACTTAAATAAAGGGCCAATGGTCAATTCACAGTGGATTTATGATACCCCTATCCATTCTGATGTTGAGGCTAAACTGAGGCAGCTCTTAGTCGAGCTTGGAACTGCTGACAAAGTACTTGGGATTCAGGTATGTAGTAGTGGTTGCCTTATATACAGTCTGATAATGTGGTATTTCTCAAAGTTTCATGATGATGTAGATCTCTCTATATTTTCTTTCAAACAATATATGGAGTATATTTAAAAGCAGAGGATACACAATGGTGAAGATACTTTTCTAAATAGAGGGCAGAACTGAAGATGATTTTATTCTTTGTTATTGCTAATGAATATATTCTTGTTTTTGTGATGTCTCTGAAGGTTTGTGCCTACAAAGATGGAAATGTGATCATCGATACTGCTGCTGGCATGCTTGGAAGATATGATCCAAGGCCAGTTCAACCTGATAGCTTATTTTCTGTATTTTCAGTAACAAAGGGAATCACAGCAGGAATGCTACATTGGCTGGTTGATAACGGGTAAGTTTTAAATGGGTTTTAATTAACACGTGTTGATAGAATATTCAACAGTAGGGCAATTTATATCGTGGACCAGGATCCACAGTGCAATGTGGACCCTGGTCCAATACACAGAATTTGACTTCATAAGGTACATAATTCATGTTCATAATACACATACACATAAACACGATATAATGAACATGAATTATGTGCATTATAAACATGAATTCTATGTATTATGTTAAGTGTTTATGTGTCCTCAGCTATATAATACACATAATTCATGTTCATAATACACAGAATTCATGTTCATTATATCGTGTTTATGTGTACGTGTATTATGAACATGAATTCTGTGTATTGGGCCAGGGTCCACAGTGCCCACAGTGTACTGTGGATCCTGGTCCACAATATAACGATTGCAACAGTAGGCTGTAGGCCCTTTGTACTCCAGAAAATATAAATCGTACATATGAGGGTATCTATTTGAAATGAGTTACGTAACAATTTTGTATTTGCCTTAATTAGGTGAACATTTTTTGTTGTCTAATATGTCCATATTCCCACCTTACCTCTAAACCTCATGTTGCAAAGCCATCAGATCCGAAATTTTTATCACAACACCTCTAAACCTCATGTTGCAAAGCCATCAGATCCGAAGTTTTTATCACAACATTTTTTTCTTGAAAGCCTGTTTTATCAGGTTAAAGTTTTTGGGTTCTTGAATGCCTTTTCTGGTCCAATTCAACAGAAGAGTGTTACTAGGTCAATTTTTAAAAACAGTAGGGAGTCCTTTTATTTTTTTGTTATCAGCTATCAGAGTATGCGCCAACAGTAAGTCCCTATGTGTTACCATTACTTCTAATAAGAAATTGCATCTGTTCTCCTGGCAGCAAACACCATTTATTTCTATCCAAAATTGAATATTCAATTTTCTTCTCTGGCCCATACCTATAATAATTTCCCAAATACCTAAAATTTATTCAATGTTTACTGATTTCTAAACTTTGTGAGAGTCCACTTTCAAACATCAAAACAAATAAAATAAAATAAAAAAAACTAAAACTAAAACTTCCATCTTATTTCTTGGCCACCTAATGCTAAACTTTACTCAATATATTTATTTGAATTTCAATCTAAACAACTAGAATAAGTTATTTTAATTTAGTAGTTGTGTAAATCAAAATAGTACATTCAATTTAAAACATATTCTCTAACTTACAACTATTTCATCTCATTTTCTAAAAGGATTTCAATCTCTTAGTGTAGAAATTTTATTGAGAAATGGGCTAAAGGGAAGGGATCTGCATACAAGAAACAAAAATTTAACAGAAAATTGTTAGTTATCTAACCAATACAAAGACCCAAGTCCAATGCATTGTATCCAACACAATCTATGCATGCCATGTCCAATTCATCTCCACATGAGAAATTCTTCCTACATATCCAGCGTTCTCCTTGATGTTCTCTAGCTACAATTTGGAGTAAGTAGTATCCATGGCACATAAAAACTAGATTTCCCTTTACCTCTTGGGCTAACAGCAATAAACGATGTAAAGCAGAATAGATATTTTACTATTCAAATGGTTTTTGTAGACAAAAATCTGTAGCTTAAATGTGCATGAGTGCAAGGTTCTAAGTACTGGTGCACCCTACAGTCCAGGACTTAAACATGCAGCTCTAAGTTTTTTTTTTTTTTTTTTTTTTTTTATGGTGTCCTTAGCTCTTACATGATCTAACTTGTGTTAAATTGTTGTGCAATCAAAGGATGGTAATTATCTAATAAAGGTACCATCTTTTGAATGTTGAATAGCCTAACCCTAGATCTAGTCATAGTAGGCTTGTCTGATGCTTGTATATAAATATATAAGGACTTTGTACAGTGTTTGATACCAATCGTTATATCCTACACCACGGCGCACATAGCACTGTGTACCGCGCGCCTCCCAAAACGACGTCGTTTTGGGGTAGTGTTGGGAGGCGCGGTAGGAAGTTGCTGAGATTATGTGTATTTGTTCATAACGTTGTGTGTATTGGTTCATACAGTTATGTGTATTTTTTATACAATTATGTACATTCTTTTTATACAATTATGTACATCCGAATCAGAAAATTTGTGTGTATTATGTTAAGAGTTGATGTGTATTATGTTAAAAGTTTATGTTTATTATGTATTATGTTAGATTATGTGTATTATCTTTTAAAAAGAGTATGTATATTTTGTTATATAATTATGTACATTCATGTATAACATTATGTGTATTCTAGTATAACATTATGTACATTCTTGAACAGCGGGTTTTTTTTTAAAGAAAAAACTACTGCCATTCACTGGGGCGGGAAATTTCAAAAAAAAATAATAATTCTGGGCGCATAGTGCAACGCGCGCCGTGGTGTAGGATATAAATTGCCGTTTGATACATAACTGTAAAAACCTTTGTTGTTGCACACCATCAACAAGAAGCTCAATTGCTAGCTAGTAGCTGGAAGACCTCCTTTTTCTTACGCAACATGAAGAGTTTGACCTACCTGTTACTATAATTCTATAATATCCTTGCTCTTTCTTCGGTGGTAACCTATCATAAGCATTTCATAAAAATTGAATACCACATGTTACTTCTCTTCATTAGCTTTGATTTCTGTTAAGAGTCCCACATGAAAAAAAAAAAAAAAATAAGATGGAGTATATGGGTTTATAAGGTCATGGGTTAGACTAGCTAATTGATTGTATTCAATCTTTTAGTGTGATTTTGCCCATGTGCATTATACCCCAGTTGAGTGACCTTGGCCCAATATTGGATTATAACATGGTATCATAGCCTTGTTATAACATGGTATCAGAGGTATCAGAGTAACATGGTATTAGGGCTTTGTTATAACAAGGTATCAGAGCCTTGTTCGGTCCACTTCGTGTTTACCCGGTTGTCTACCTGTAGTATTGGTGGCGTCCAAGCTTTCGTTTCAAGGGAGGGTCCAATCCTAAACCCGCTTGTTCGGTCTACTTTAGTGGCGTCTAAAGCTGTTAAGAGTTCCTTATTGAAAAAAATAAGAGAGGCCATAGGTTAGACTAGCTAATTGATTATTCAATCTTTTAGTGTGGCCCAGGTGTATTATAGCCCAGTTGAGTGACCTTAGCCCAATCTTAGATTATAACAATTTTCAAGGTTTGCTATCTTGTTTCTCTTTGCCTATGTTCCTTTAAATGCCTTAGTGAGGAACCAATAATCAAGATGTAATAAACTCTTACGCATAGACATAAATCCGGTTATTGTCAACTTTGCAATAATATATGATGATACAATACATAACAGTAAGGAACTGTTTTTTTCTTGAAGTTTCAAAATATTAAATAGAAACTTGTGACAGACAAAAAGCCAACTGGCAAGAGGTCTTTGGTACTGAAAATACAAACCTAAGTTGGAGGCAGCATTTAACTTTTGCCTCACACTAGCATACCCTTTGGAGTATTAGCATTTGGAATTAACCCAATATCTTAATCAATTGTCGTCATCTATCTTCTGTAATAACCATTCAAAATATGTCATCTAGCAGAAAACTAAGGCTTGATGAGAATGTTGCAAACATTTGGCCGGAATTTCGATCAAATGGGAAAGATCAAATAAAGGTTGACATTTGTCTCTCTTAAGTTTCTTTTTTTCCTTTATGTTGTTCATATCCTCTTTACTTAGTCTCTTTGGTTGGCTAGATATAAATTTGCAATTTAATTCTGTTGAGAAATATAATCATGATATCAGAGTAAATAACTGCATAGTCAGTAGAGTTCCTACATGTTTTCTCTTAACGACTAAATCAGTTGCTCATGGATGTTATGTCTCTCTGTGCCAGGTTCACCATGTGCTTAACCATACATCTGGTCTGCATAATGCCCTTGCTGACCTGACTCGAGAAAACCCTTTATTAATGACTGATTGGGATGAATGTTTGAACTGCATTGCCACGGCTACCCCAGAGACTGAGCCTGGTCACAAGCAACTATACCATTATTTGTCTTTTGGCTGGTTATGTGGTGGCATAATCGAGGTATTAGCACATAGTTTTGTACCATTACTTCATCCTTTTATTTCATTATAATAATTGTTTTTTCTGCTTACATTATTTGTTTTTGAGAGAACCAGAAGAATTATTTGTCAATGTTCCTTAACACAGTTTGGCATGAGAAATAAGAGGGGTTGATGAAAGGGAAGTAAATGATAAGGTTTCAAGCTAACTCCCTCTTTGGTTAGGAAGTCAAACATGATTGGAACGTAATGTAAACAACCATTTTAAATCTGATGAGAACTTGATGGGTGGTTCCTTCATTTCATGTTGTTCACTTGTTTTTGGCTTCTCTACTAAACAAGTGAACAACAATCTTTGTATCAAAGATAGCCTTGGTTTGAAGCTCAAAGCGTCAATGTACTATTTCAAGTGCCTTGGCTACATAAGAATCAAGATCTCCGTTCTCGTCTCTCTACAGAAATAGTTGAAGTTCTGATTTTAGTTTCAAAATCATAATCCTAGCAATGTACAAAGCTCAAATTGTCCAGCTCACTTGCAAATTTTGTTACCATTGTTCAATTCCAAGTTTAATTTTGAAAAGGAGAAACTTTTAAGTAATTCACAAATGGCTTATCTTTTAGATGTGATTTCAAAAGTATGAAATTTTGCAGTCTACATTCTTGTCTCAACATTTATAATTATCTCAGTCATCAATCCTATTGAACAGCGTGCATCTGGAAAAAGATTTCAAGACTTTCTTGAAGAAGCATTTATCCATCCTCTTAAGATTGAAGGGGAGCTGTATGTTGGAATTCCTCCAGGCATGGTTCAAACTTTCTAATACTTCTTTACTTAGTTTGAATGTGTTGATGGACATGCATGCCAGATTTCATTACAACTGATCACTTCCATTAAATAATATTATTATCTTTAAGCATATACTAATGATAATGAATATCGAATGTGTTCTAGTTAGTAACTTCTCAGAGACAAATGTTGCTCTGTCAATAAAAGTATAGCTTTTGAGAATGCAAACTTCTATGTGGAGAGTACTTATTCTAGCTTTGATATGGCAGTAGTGAAATATGACTAATTTCCTAAATCTATTCAGAATATTCTTATTGTCTTTAATTTTAATGAAACAAGGATGCATTGCTGCTGCAAAGTATTCCACTGTAATTTCCAGAAATTCAACTATACCTTCTGTTTTGAATCTTTTGGGAGAATAGAATTGGCATTAATTGACGGGTTCTGGTGTCTTATGTGCCCTTGGCATACCATGATGAATTTTAAGTTCTAAAGTAAAATGTAAATAACTAAGATGTGTTTGGTTCATGGGTTTAGCTATCAGGAATGGGAATCAAAGTCATTGTTATTGTTTGGTTGACAGATTTTCAGAGCAATTTTATGGGATTTGATTACCCCCTTAATTAGAAAACACATTCCTTAATAAAATAAGGGTTTCATTCCATTATTCCCCTCCTAATTGGTAATTTGATTTTTAAGTTTGGATTACTGCTTTTAGGTTTTTTTTTTTTTTTGTTTATATTGGTACTTTGGATGTCTTTATATTAGAATAAATTATCTTGATTTTTTGTTCTTGTATTTTTAAAACCTTTATTCCCATTATAGGATCATACATAACCAAACAGCAATATTGGTAATCATTCCAATTCCACCCTACTACCAAACATGCAAAATACTTTCACCAAAATCCATTACAATTACCAAGTATTTGATTCTCATTCTGATTCCGATTCCCATGTGCGAACCGCCGAACCAAACACAAAATATTACATTTACATATTTAGAAGTGCTGCTTGTGAGAACTCTTGAAGCTACAGTAAATTATCTTTGAAATTATATTAAACATGCTTGAAGTTGTTGACCTTGCCAACTGTTAATTGTTTTGATTAGCTTTCTGCAATTCTTTCTTTCTCAAATGTAAAGGTAACAATAACCTTATCGCACTCTCATCCCTTAAGAGAGGTCGGGAGTTCGAACCCCCTCTCGTATGGAAAAACCAATCTGGCCAGCACTTTGCCCCTTAATTGGGTCCGCCCGGTGTGAATGGAGATTAGTCTGAGTATGGTACGGGCTTAAAGGCCCCTTCTACAGTTACGACCTGCTCAGGACACCTCATGGTCTTACCCCAAAAAAAACAACCTTATCGCACGATTTACTTGTTTTTCCATCTCACAGGTTTAATTTTGTTGCTTTAACAATATCTGAATGTTATCAACAAATTCTCTACTGTAGGTGTTGAATCTCGAGTTGCATCACTTACGGTAGATATGGATGATCTCACCCAGCTTTCAGCAATGAGCGCCCGTTCAGACCTGCCCTCGAGCTTCCAGCCACAGAACATTGCCCAGTCTGCAGTTACCCTTCCTATCATGTTTAATGCACTCACTACTCGCCGTGCCATTATACCTGCTGCCAATGGACATTGCTCAGCTCGTGCACTTGCTCGCTACTATGCAGCGCTTGTTGATGGTGGTAAAATTCCCCCACTGTCGTCTTCTTCCATGCCACCACTGGGAAGCCACCGACACGTTCCTAAATTCCCTTCTCCGAAGACCCCCAAAAAAAAGCTATTAGCTAGATGGAGGAAGGCTGATTCAGAAAGCGGTGATAGCTCTGATAGCGATGATGGTTCTAGCAGAAATGCTAGTGGTAACGAGTACGTATTGGTTGTCAATGATGACGACACTCCAACTGACAGCCACAATGCCAAACTTTTCAAAAACCCAAAAATCCACGAAGCATTTTTGGGCGTTGGAGAATATGAGAAGCTGACCTATCCGGATGGGCAGTTTGGGCTCGGTTTCAAAAGGATACACTCAAAGGACTCCGGCCTTATAGGGTTTGGTCATTCCGGCATGGGTGGATCCACAGGCTTTTGCGACATGAAGAATAGGTTTGCTATTGCAATAACACTAAACAAGTTGTCGTTTGGGGGCGTGACTGCAAAAATAATTCAGCTGGTTTGCTCGGAACTTAATATACCAGTGCCTGAGGAGATTTCCATGAAATTGGAGAGTGAATCTAGTAATTTAGCTCAGCCCATTATAAACTGATATAAGCTCCCATCTCATTTTTGTTATTGTCAGATAGTAACATTATTATTACTTAGTTGTAGTAATATAGGTAAATCTCAAGTACTGACAACGATTTTGAGGTGTAAAATGGTATTTACATATGAAGGTTCTTATATTTACAAAAAAAAAAAAAAAAAAAATGGTATTTACACATGAAGGGTCTTATGTTCATACCTTCATCACACTTTTACCACTCCAGTGGCTGTTGTAGAATATTGTATTATTGATGAATTCTTCTTTTGACTGTAATAAGTAGTGATCGCAGTTGTGATGAACATTCCTTTCTGTGCAATAGTAAAAAAAATAAAGTCTGATATTTGGAGATTAGATTATTGCAATGACAAATTCCTGTGAATATTTTTACCTTGCGCAAAACCGTGCGCTCAAGATTTGTAAAAAATGTACGAGTTGATTGTATTTAACATGTCAGCTCGAAGTTTGCAACAATTATCTTGTTTTTTCCTTAATTTAAAATTGTTGATCATCCAGGCTGATGAATGAGATTATTATTATTATTATTATTATTATTATTATTATTATTATTATTATTATTATTAATATTAAGCATAATGAAGTATTTTGATTAATTGTTGACCCATGTGCATTATAGCCCAATTGAGTGACATAAGAGTATAACAGTTATACAAGAACATTGACAAAAATGTACTCCGTATCATTCTTTTTTCTTTTATTATACAAAGACTAGACTAGTAATATCTGTAATACTTGAACACTCTGAATCAGAAACTATTGTTAACTAGACTGTAGATTGCTATGGTTGAAACCATTTAACAAATTAGAGTACCTTTCTTGATATCTCTGTGCATTACTAAATAAATGTTCACATAGTACAAAGCAAATATTCATATCATATGAATCTCTGACAAACCTGATGAAAGATTGTGCATACAAGATGTCATTCCCATTCAAAACTTCCTTCCCTTCCATCTGTTCTTGTCCTGTGTATGATTGGACTTTGCGGTGTAGCCTCCATGCTTGAGAGGGACCAGTGGCTTAATGTACGACAGCCCAGGGGAATGTCGTTTCTCTTTTGGCAGTGGTTGTAGCTCCGGCAACCAGTAAGCTACAAACTCCCCTTCTGGGTCATAGTTTTGTGCCTAAAAAACACCACTCATCAATTATGAATAACAACACATGATGACCAAATTATACAATTAGACTGTATTTATAGCCTCTGACTCAAGCTCTAGTTGTAATCTTTTCATTTTTCTTTTGACTAAATGAAAATGAGTACTAAGCTTTATGCAGTAGATTTTTGACTCGCATCAAATTACTCTTCCACAGATTACGGGGATACTCACAAATCTTATTATATTCATACGCGTGGTCACATTGGAGAGTGTAATTAACATGATTGGTGCATAGTATGCAACAATTCTAGTATTGATATGTATATAATATAAAACACACAATATCGGGTAATCTATGAGCAAAAACTGACATTTCCACACCCATAATATATATATATATATATATATATATATATATATATATATATATATATATATATAGATGCTAAGACTTTTTAAGCACACTTACTTGCTTAGGAATACTAAAATAACGGTCCTCTCTTGGGTCATTGCCAACACCTGAATGGAGAAGAACAAATACAACACTGAATTGAATTACAAATACTTTATCATAGAAAACAATGTTGTCTGGAGCAAGCTTAATGTTATTAAGTACTTGACTAATTTAAACCCCTTTTTCAACAGGTTGTAATTTTTGAACAAATGAATCAATAATATCAAATAAGGAAAATTTAAAAATATATATATACAATATTCTCAACTGTCAAATGATGATCCTAATATTATATTTCTGATGGCAACAAAAGGTATCTACAAGCTAAGGGATTCTCACAATGTCATGTTTGTCAATGAGTAAAATTCTTTGAAAGAATCATCTCTACTGAAGAAGGTTAAGGATTACCACTCAAGATTCAAGAACATCATTCGTAAAAGAACTATGTCCCATGTAGGGAAAAAAGGATTAATCACCTGCCCCATAAGTCCAATTACCATAATTGGAGCATGGATCATAATCCAAGAGGCATGTCTCAAACCACTCAGCTCCCATCCGCCAGTCAATGCCCATATCTCGAACGAGAAAAGAACAAATAATCTGTCAAAATAAAATGATATGTCAGAGTTCCAAAGCGTTTGGCTATTTTCTTTTCTGCATTTCTTTAGGGAGGGGGTGGAGAAGTAAAATGATACTTTCTTTAATCTTCAAAGAAGAATTGTTTTCTAAAGGTTGTTCCAGCTAATACCCTTTCAGATCATACTAAATAAAATGCAAAGTACCTGACGCCCTCGATTTGACATGAATCCAGTAGTCAAAAGTTCTTTCATATTGGCATCTATCAGCGGGTACCTAAAATTTTGGTTATGCAAATGTAATGAGACTAACACAATGAGAAACAACCTTTTACAGATCACTTTCTTGGTGCATTTATCTGGGTGACTAAGGAGAAAAGGGGGGATGATGAAGCAAAGAGAAGTGAGAATAAAAGTTGAATAATGGACTAAACAATTCTACTGCTTGATAGCTGCAAAAGTTTTCTGTGCAGCATCTCAAATTCTGGATAGAGGATTTACCCGGTCTGACCATTTCTCCAAGCATCAAACAATCTCTGGTCTTTGCTCCAATTAGAGTTTAACTTTCGAGGTCCACCTAATTCAGATACAAGTGGAACTAAGAATAAGACGGCAGTAGTTAAGTAGACAACAAAGAAACCCATCATGAATGTTTGTTTAACAGAGACAGATGGGCAGAAACAAGAAAAGGAAGAATTTTGCAGCTTTGCTCCATAAGTGTTATAACAAAGTTATTGTTGAAGTGTTTGCAGAAGTTTCCCCGCAATTTCTGAGTTTACACTGAAGTATTTGCATATACATCCAGAAAACAAACAAACAAACAAACAGAACTCTGTGTTACCTGGATGGAAAAGCGAATTTCCCACTTTTATTGAGAGAAATCTGAAGTAATCCCTCCATATCAGTTCAAATAAAACCCTGGAATGGGAATATTTTTCAGCAGTAGTGAACTAGAATGTATTTGCCAAATATTGATCATACTTCCTAAAGTCTCAGTATCATTCTCTTCACAAGAAAGAGTCATCATGAAGGGAGGTATTACATACCAATATGTTGAAGCGTTTGACAGTCTTTCCTTCTCGTATCTCTTCACCTAACAAGTCAAATCGAAATTTAACTGAATATGAGTATCTTATCAGCAGAAAAGTGTAGGGATTCAGTGTAATGGTCAAAAGATGAGAAGATTTTGTACTTCAGCATGAATTAGGCGAGGAGACAGGCACCCAGAAGCAAGCCAAGGAGAGAATTTAGTTGAATAATCAGGTCCTAGCATGCCATTTCTTGTTTCTTTATATATCTTTAGCAAATCCTGTTGCAGGAAAACATATAAAAATATTTAGATGCTTCATTCTCCCCAATCCTATTAAACGAGCATGACAAATAAAGTCAGACAACTATATTTAATCATTAAGGGGAGGCCGGGAGGGTATACACATTTCTGAAGTATACCATGAATGATACAACCTTTCAAAGGGCATAATCAATTACTTAAATCTTCTAGAAAGCCAACATACGTAGAGGGAAAAAAAAAAACAGACTAAGGTCATTCGCAAAGGGGAACTCTGGAATTGAATAAAGGACACAAATAAATGTACAAGATAGTTCATTCTAATATGACCTATTTTTATTTATTTCTTTGTCCAGTTATACAGCAAGTACTGTATGCTTTTCCATTTGTAACTGGCTGCTAATAGATGGACAAAACCTGGATAAGCCAAGCAAAAAAAGGAAACTTCTCATTCAATATATAAGTGAGACAAAATCCCCTTGCCTTCTTCCAGAAATACTCATGCACCCTACTCAGAGCTGCAGTTTCACCACCTACAAACTTCATCCCTTTAGAAACCTGTAAAATCGGATATCTTAGTGTGTAAACTAAAGAAATCCTTTATTCTGCTTATGAATAGATTAAACAAGAACCTGCCTTTTCTGGTTGGAGACCAAACTGGGTAACTTCAGGAACAGATCCCCACTCTGCAACACTGGGAGAGGGACCAAGTGATGTAGGAATTTTTATGCAATTTCGAATTACCGATTTGGATTCAACAGACTGTAATCATCATCCACCTGGATATTACAAGCCTTTCCTCACAATGAAAATATTGAGTAAAACATATCAGAAGAAAGAAAAATACCTTACGGAATTGGGTATATACATCTGGTAAGTCCTTGCAGTTGAATGGAAGGTCATCTATATGGTACATAGTGCAACCCCAGATCAGTTCTAACCTAGTAGCATTCTTAGAATTTGATGACGATTGTATGGCATCTTGCAAGTTTTTGGAGACTGCTCTTTCAACATTCAGCTCCTCACTGCATGTTTCTTTTTGAGCATAAACCTGCCACAGTAGCCATGCACATCTCTTATGAAATAATAAAGGCAAATTTTGAACCAAGAATTGCCATAAACAGATACCCCAGAAAGAGAAGTCCAGAGATGATCCCTTAACTGTATGTGCATTATATGTCTTTGCAAGTGAAGGTAGGATCTCTTCAGGTTCCCCATGCTGAATTAATAGGTTAAGGCCCCGTTTCATTAAATTCCTTTTCAAATCAGCCAATGACTCTACAATGAATTGAGCCCTCAAGGCTGCCAAACAAAGTACTCTTAAAAATTCTTTACAGCCAAATTCATAAACATGTATTCACGAGCTTTTCTCTGGAGTTTATTGCTTCTGGTACTTTGTTACTTCAAAGCACAAAACAACTGTCTCATCCTTAAGGGAGCTCATGTAACTAAATATAAAATTTTTCTTTTTAAAATCTATTCACGGCAAAGTAAATCTAGTAAACTCATATTCTGACTATAATCTTAACAATTTTGGAAACAAAACATTAGTACTGAACTTTTCTGGCTATGAGAAAATTCACATTCACTTTATCATGATATTATCGCATGTCAGATAGGTAAATTACTAGGCGATACAATCAGATATAGTAGTATGAATGGAAAATAAACTGTTAACTGACTCGGCATTACAATCGGCACTGTGAATAGTAGAACTAACGAAGAGTAGATTGGGAGAATTGAAGTACCTCCAGTTTTGGGGAAACCAAAGTAATGAGTAGTGGAGAAGAGCCTGGGATCTACGCAATACACCGGCAACACGGCCTCCGAGGAAATCCAAGCTTTGTACAAAGCCTCATTGTCCAAAACCCTCAGA